CGGCCGCTGCCTTCTCGGGGTTGGCGAGCAGCGACTCGGGCACCAGGCCGGCGCCCGTGCCCGCGTGCAGCCCCGCGCCCGCCTTGAGCGCCGGGTGCTCGGCGTCTGCCAGGCCGTAGGGCACCGGGAAGGCGAACTTGTCCTTCTTGAGCAGCGTCTTGGGCTTGCGCCGCGGCCGGTACTTGTAGTCGGGGTGCTCCTTCATGTGCATGGCGCGCAGGCGCTTCGCCTCGTCGATGAACGGCCGCTTCTCCGACTCCGTGAGCAGCTTCCACTCGGCGCCCAGGCGCTTGCTGATCTCCGAATTGTGCATCTTGGGGTTCTCCTGGGCCATCTTGCGCCGCTGAGCCCGCGACCATACCATGAAGGCGTTCATGGGCCGCTTGACGTGGTCCACCGGCTTGGACATGCTCTCGCCGTGCCGCGGCTGCAGCCCGCCGCCGCCCGGGCCCTCGCCCTCGGCCGGGAGGAAATCAATGTTGGCTGCCCGCGGGGACCCGCTCGGCCCGCCCGCGCTCGCTGCGTCCCACCTCGCGCCCCTTCTGGCCCCGGCGTCGCTCCCGCCCGGGAGGAGGGGAGTGGGGACCAGCCTAGGGCCGTGCGGCGCCCCGGCCGCCCTGGTCTCTCCGGGCAAGCGCTCCGGAAAATCCTCTCCCGGGAATGATAACTTCTCGGCTGTGCCCCTACCCCGAGGTGGCAGTTTTCACTCTGCTTTCTTTTGGTCCTTCCTCTCCGCTTGGGTTTGCTCGCGAACTCCCTGCAGGTAGCCGCAGCTCCGCAGAGCTTCCGCCACCTCCGTCTCTGACCTCCTAAATGCAAAGCAGCTCCGAAAGTTGTGCCGCGGAGGCTCCACAAAGTTGAGCCGAGGAGCCCGCCGCCGCGTGCTGCCAAGTGCCAAAGGGGGCTCTCCGCTGCTGGAGTGTTTGGGTTCTCCTGGGTGACTTTCTCATTTGACAGTAGCAGATGGGGGTGGGGGAGGAGGGGAGGTGGCCGGGGAGGAAGAAAGAGGAGGGGGAGGAGGGTCCGGCGCGCCCAGGGAAGGCAGAGCGCAGCAAGAGATACAGCGGCACCAGCAGGTCTTCCTGGCTCCCGGCAAGGCGCACTGAAGGGAACCCCCAATCGGCAGGGTATCGGGGGAGGGGAGGCCTGTCCGCGCCCCTGGCACCTGCCTCGCGGGTCTTCCTCTCCGGCAGCTGGGCGGGAGGGGCGAGGAAGGAGGTTAGCTGAAGCTTCAGCAAGTCAGAAGTCCTAGGGTCTCAGAGACAATTCCCTCGGTTCGCCGAGGCGTCGCAGCTCGCGGTCCGCCGGGACATGCTGGCTCGTCTCCCTCCGAGCCCCTCCAGGCGAGCGGGGCGACTCGGGCTCCCGGCTTCTCCGAGCGCGCCAAGCGTGGAGGGCGGCGCTGGCTCGGGGCGGCGGCCCCGGGATCCGCCGCTTTCTCCTGTCGCTCCTCTCGGCCGCCGCCAGACACTTGCAACTAACTTCGCCCAAGTTTCCTGCGCCGGCGCCGCCGCGCCCCTCTTGGCGCGCTCTCCTCGGAGCCTGCGCCCCGGTGTGCGCCGCCGCCGGGGCCCCTCTCTCCTCCTTCCTCAGGTCAGAGCGGAGCAGGCGAGGGAGCCGCGGTGCTGGAGGAGGGGATTTAAGGAAAACGCGCCATCACCTCAGTTCGAAGGTCCGCGTTGGGGCCGCTCCCGTTTCCCCCACTTCCGCAGCGGGGTGGGCCCCTTCCCGACGCAGGTCACCACTCCGCCTCTCTTGGAGGGGTCAGGAGCCCTCTGCGAAGGCTCAGGTGAGTGTCGATACCTGCGTGTGCATGCGCCCGGAGCCGGCGCGGGGTGTGCGAATCCAGCCGCCGCTGAGAGTGTGTATATCGGGGGCACGCGGAGGAGGTGGAGCCCAGTACTCGGGGAGGGAGGAGGGACCAGCGGAGCCTCCTCCCGCTCCTACACCCCCAGGACGTCGAATTAAACAGGTTCCCCACTGCCACCACCCCCCGCCCCATACTCCTCCGCCCACCGCTTTTCATTTGAGAGCAGGTTTAGGCGAGTGCAGAGCCCGGAGCGCGCCGCGGAGTCTGCGCACTGTTTGGCGTTGGCAACCCTTGGTGTCATCCTCGGCTACCCTGACCGGGGGCGCGCTGCTCAGGTCCAGGCTCTGGGATCCACTGCCTGGAGAAGGAAGGACGCGAGCACGAACAGGAGAGCCTTTCGAACTACGGAGAAAGAGGGTTAAAACTGCGGAAGGGGGGACGCATCCTCGCAAACGTTTGAGACTTTTGTCAGCAAGAAAGTGCTCGTTCTAATTGGAGGTCCAGATGTTACTTGCAACAGATGCTTCCCGTATTTTCTTGCACTGGTGATGCAACCCGTCAGAGGTAGTGGAGTGAAAAAATAGCTGAGGAGGGACTGAGCGCGCTCCTGACAACCTTTTCTAAAACGAACTAGCCCAGGCTGAAAGCAGGCATCCTTGGCTTACTATTGAGCTCTTTAAAAAATGGCATTAAAAAAAAAAAAAAAAAAACCTGGTCGTCAGAGCCATCTATATGCTGAACTCTCTTTAAAGTGCAGTTAACCTACAGTATCTCACTTAAATGTACAGATAGGGTGAAGATGTTTAAAAAGCAGTAAGTACGGAAACGTTTTTCTGAAAGTAAAACACGTTATTCTATGCTAGAATATTTTTAAGCTGTTGAGCACAGTTTTCTCCTTTGGTAGTTTCAGCAGTTTTTTCTTTATAATGGACACGATGCCGAACCTCGCAGCATGCTTTTGCTTGCGTATTTTTCTCCCTTCTGGGTGTGCTGCAGCGCATTATAACGTGATCTGTCTGGAGGTTTGATTCAGAAGTTTGCCTGTCCTTCAGGGAGAACTTGCTTGCCTTCTTTCTTTGGCAGTTTAGATTTGACCTAGCCATGTGGTGTGTGCAAGTAGGAACTCCTATAAGTGGTTAACTCTAAGTCTTTCCTGAAATTTATGTTCCATAAACACGCACACGATGGTAGTTATGGACTTCAATAAACCCTGTTTTAGGCCATCAGTCTCACTTAAAAGTAAGATTTTTGGGAGGACTCATTTTAATAAAAGAACAGTGATTGTTGCCTTAATTTTATTTGTTGCAATAACATATAGAAATGTGAACCAGCAGAGACATATATGGGAGATTTTTTTTTCCCCTTAAGGTGTCATATTTACAGACGTTTATTTTGTGTCATTTATGCCCTTGTATTGCTAAAATGACTGGACTGATCCCTCTACAACCATATTCCTTTCCAGGCTCCTGCTGGGTGGGGCGATGTTGAGATACTTGCAGGTGTAATTATGTAGACTAGAATATTAGCTACACTGTTTTAAGATGAGAAACTACAAAATTATCATCTTTAAGCTTTAAAGATACTAACTCTTATAATAGGTTTGAGACAAAAATATTACACACTGTTGCACGAAGAACATATGCGCAGGGACAGAAGCTACCGAAAAACGGTTACTCATTAAACATCGCGAATGAAGTTGAGTCTAATTGTGAAAATTATCTCATCACATAAAAAGGGACAAGAATTGAAAAAAGGTATTTTATGTTGTTGAAGTAAATCAATTTATACTATTTTCTAATTTTACTTTAAAAATCTACTGCAATAAATCATTAGCATGGAGAGAAATATTTGTACATACCATTGAAATGTGTACTTATACATACAATAATATATTACAAAAATAAAATACGGAAGGGTCCTTTGGGTCTGTTTTTCCAGTACACACTCTGCAGTCTTGCCTGTTTAGTGATATTAAATGAACCAGATTTGAAGGTTCTTAAGCCTGTGAATGTCGTACTATGGAACGCAAAAGTGGTCATAAAAAGAAAATTGCTGTTTGTATGCTTGATTGTCTATTTGCCAAATAAATTTAACACATTTTAAGATAGAGATTTGAGGTTCAATTTCAGTTATTAGGGGATCAGTGCTCTTGGCCTAAAGCCTTCACAACCAAGGGAAGAGGCCGCATAATAAGCCGTGCGTTAAAGGAAGGCAGTGTGGCATCGCTGCTATTAAACAACCTTCACACTTCTTTGCCAGAATATGGCTGAGCTTTTAACAAAGTAAATTTTTGAACCATTCTCCTTCATATGTACCAAATGTAAATTCCCTTTTAATTTCTCCAGATCTTAATGTTTGAATTGAGTAGGGTGTTATATGTTTGTTCTTGTTGGTTATTTGACCTTAGAAATGAAAAATACCAGGATGTAGAAGGGAAATAGATTAGCCTGTGTGAGTGAATAAGTGAAGGAAAAATAATTTGAAGTAGATTTATAAGCTTGATGGGCTTTATATTGGCAGCTCTTGACTCTTGACTCTTGTGAACACCTAGAGAACAGTATTGTTGGTTCAGTATAATCTGTGTGGGATCTGCAGTTTCCTTGTGGCCGTGGTAATATCTGTGATCACAAATCTGCCGAATCAGAAACAGAGACGCTTTCTTGGAAGAAGTTTGTGGGCTTGTGCAAATTCAGTTTCCACTTTTTCCCCCTTAAATTTCTCCCCAGTAAATGGTCCCTTTTCAATTCTAAAACTTTCACTAGGAGGCAGCAATGAGGTTGTTGGGGAATGAAAAATACCTTGGCAGTACCAGATGGACTGACTTTCTCTTTCTCATTCATAAAAAAGGGGGAATATTTGGGACCCAAAGAAGAACAGATCGGAGAGCGAAGTCAGTCTCCCCCCTTGTCTGCAGTCTCCTCTCCCCTCATTCGATTTTCACCCAGATGACTCACTAGCGTTTTTCTAGAAACTTGGAAGTGTTAAACCAGGCAAAAAAGAAAAAAGAAAAGCAAACCAACGGGTTATTTGGAGGTGACCAGATGGAAGTGTTTGGGCAGTAAAGGTGATGCCTTCAGAGTGTTGAGGCCAAGTGCATGGCAGGTGATCACACCTGGGACACTGAGAGCAGGCAACTGTAGTTAGAGACCTTTGGGGCTCTATGCTTAAGTGCAAGGAGAGAATCCCTCAGCTTTCGTAACTGCACAGAAGGGTGATACAGCCTGTTTGTCCTGTTAAGGAGGAAATGAGGGAACTGTGACAAAGGCCAACCCGAGGCAAAATTGCCCTCTAGCTCTCCACCCACTATCAGCCTTCATAAGGAGAAAAATCCCAAGCAAACAAACACATGGTCCACATAAAACCCTAAAATGAGAACCTTCTACTTAAGCAGTCATGGTAGGAGTGAACAGCTGCAAAATTGGCCCTTCAGCACTTTACTCCTAAGTATTTGCCTTTTTGTTGAGTCTTCTGTCCCTTTATTCTCACTGCCCCGCCCCTTGTTGTTGTTATTAGGTGTCCTTGAGTTGGTTCTGACTCAGAGCGACCCTGCGCACAACAGAAGGAAACCCTGCCCGGTCCTGCGCCATCCTCACAATCTT